CAATTAATGAAGACGGCTTAAACTAAAATTGAATTTAATCGATACAATTTATTTTTATATCCATTCAATCGTTGAACAACATAAATTTATACACGGTCAAATTCCAACAAAATCAATATCTACTTTCAGATAATAATAAAAAAATGCTTTTGTTGACTGCATAAACTGGTACCCTGGGCCCTGGCTGGGTAGTATGGCTGAAATACATTTTCCCACTCTGTTTTGTGGAGGAACACTTAGCCTCCCCTGGTTTTGGAAACTGACAATGTGGCACTCATTATTAGTCTCCATCGACCTATATTTTTCATTGTCCAGTTTTGACAGTGAAATACTCTTTTTACCCTTATTTTTGCATTGCCCCAATTAATAAGTATTGTTGATGTGTGATTTTGACACCAACGAAATGCACGTGTGAAGCGCTGAGCTGACTCAGAAGACACACGTGAATATAAAGAAAAGAGGATAAATGCAATGAGAAAAGCGTTTTTAAAATGCTTCGGATGCTAAGAAAGTAAGTCCTACGTCCACTGTTATATTATTAATGATAGGGGTCAGATCGCGTGAGCTGACTGACCTTCAAATGATAGTACAAGAAAAAAAATGCTTTTGTATTACAGAAAGAATAGCTAATCAAGAATAAAAATGAGCAAATCCTTTGAATGAGAGAGGAACTCTCAATTTATAGTGGGATGTATTGAGCTAATGATTACTGAATCTGTGAGTTGGTGGGATTATCTGTGCAAATCCTTCTTTATGTCACATTACTCACCTTCTAGAGTGATTTACGCGATTTGGCGCAGGGATTGGACACGTGGGATCACCACAGCTTCTGGCTGGTCTGGCGCGCACCCACTATTCTGACAGAAGCAGGCTGCAGGTATACCCATGTTCTGACTTTTGCAGGCTGACTGGACATTACGTCAGCCCTATATTTTTCAGGCATAACAAGTATTAAAATCCAAAATTAATGATAATCTTGATTATTCGACTAAGAACACATAAATCTCAACCACAAATTAAGAAGAACTAACAATCTTATACCAAACAAAGACAAAAACTAATTAATAATGATCAAACTAATAGTTATCATCTAGATTAATCTCCACAAAATTACCTCTCTTCATCTCAATTAAACAAAATATATTAAACTATATTCATCTGTTCAAATTAATTGAAATACACAAAATCATAACATATTCATCCACCACCTCCTTTAAACTCACCAAATTATGTACTTATAACAATAACAATATAAATAACAATAATAAACCATGAGTCTATAATAAAAACGACCAAAAGAGTACAGTAGGCAAACTACACATTCCTAGTTCATAATTTCTAAAAAATTTCTTTAATCCTAGAAACCATAAATCAAATTAGGGGCGGATCCAAAGTATGTTGAGGGTGGGCCATGGCTCACCCTCAATTTTTTTTTAAAAAATTTTTAATATGTAATTTTTTTTTCTTTTTTTTGACAATTTCGAATAAAAAAACAAAATATAAATGTTATATGTCATTAGTTTTTATTTTAACCTACCTTAACAGAAATTTATGGATTTGCTACTGAATAATCAATGCTTAGTCTAAGTGAAAAGAGTGACTTGACTATGAGATAATTTGGTTTTATTTTTTTTTAAATTGTTTCGTGTTTAGGTAGGGTTAAATTAATTTTTAAGGTTAACCTTATATGTGTGAAGTAAAATTACATTAATATCTATTTACTGTTAAACTTAACGTTTGCCTTTCTAAAATAGGTGATACTTTGATAATTTCTAAATCTAGGGTTGGAAAAATTTCACGAAACATGGGGTGGGAAAATGATATTCAGCCTATATTATTAAAAGCCAACTTTGCTGGTAACAGAAATAAGTGTCAAACTTATTTTAAAATCTATATTACAAATCAGTTTCGAGTTTAAAGCTTTTCTATAAAAAAACCCAACCAACAGCAAAATCTATTTTCATTGATCCTATCTCTCTCTACATTCTCTTTCTCTCGATGGCCACTCCATCTTCAGCTTCTAATATCATTCTAAACTATCCAATCGATCAAATTTTCGACCTGGACGAGGCTTTAACTATGACTGCAGCAAACACTTGGTCCCCAGAAGAATTGTCAAAGGATTCAAGCCATCGAATCACGGAACCGAACACCAGTTTGACATCAAAGTTGCAAACTGTATCAACTGCAGGCGTTTGTGCGGTGTGCATGGAAGGTTTTGGGTCGGAATTTCCCGGTAAGCAGGTCATATGTGGGCACGTGTTTCATGATATTTGTATCGCCATGTGGGTTTCCAACTGCAATTCTTGTCCTCTGTGTCGGAGTATTTGCATAATCTCGGGCCAAGATTAACCAGAAATCTATCAGTGTTTCTTTCAAGGTATGTTTCGGTTGAATAAATATAATATTTTATTGTTGTCAATGAAAGTGACCCCCGACTGTTTATGAATGCACAATAAATGGGGAGCATTGTTTTTTTTAAAGTCAATACGTGCTACCTTCAATTTCGGTGTAGTATTATTTATAATTATGTGTATTATTCCATTAAATATTCAAAATACGAGTAAGGGGTTTCAATCAAGATATGTCACGAATCTCACTGTCTTTACTGGTGTATTTGGTTCAAATAATATTGGATTACTAAAAAATTAGGAATGTGTTTGGCTTATTATTTCTGTCCATATTTTCAATCATATTCTCTAAATAATGTTTGGCATATTATTCTAGAAATATTACCCTGTATTTTTTAATTACTTTTAGACCTCATAAGATTATTAATTTCATTAAATACCCTCTAAAATAAAAGTTTAAAAATTAATAAAAACACCCCCGTGACCCATACTTGCTAGATTTCGGTAACCACCGTCGGTGGTAGCCGGAATCTACCACAACGGTGAATTACTAGCCGAAACTGGTCGGTAATTCACCAATCTGGCCTTTTCCAGCCAGATCCATAGTGGATCTAGTAGGAAAAGGCCAGATCTAGTCGTTAGCGACGGCCAAAGAAATGGCCGTCGTTAACGGTCAACAATTTAAAATGGCTATCGTTTTGGCCTTTTCCGGTCATCGACGGCTACAACAGGCCATAACGACGCGTTACGACACAGATTCAACCGGTCTATGTCGTAACGCGATTTTCCTGCCAGATTCCGGCAGTGGTGGCCATAATCTGGCACTGCGGGTGGTGGGGGTATTTTTGTCATTTTATATGTTGGGGTGTTTAATAAATTAGTAAACCTATGGGCTTTTTTATAAATTTTTAAATTTTACCTTGTAATACTTCCCTATTCAACTACCAAATATTATTCATAAAATCCTATCCAAAATAATAAACCAAAAGCACCCTAGATTATCTTGAAGATTATTGAGAATCTTTAGGAAAATGTGTTTGGTTAGTTGATAGATATGTTATATTAATATGTTTGGTTAAGAGAAATAAATTAGTGGTTATGTTATTTAAATTACTAAAATATCCTCTAATTAATTGAGGTGGGGGTGGTAGCTTGGGTGGGTTGCAATTTGTTTTGAATTCAAGAGTAATTTTATCAAAAAAGTTAATTAATTGGGATGAAATAGTGAAAGTCATATTCGTGTAAATTAATTTAAAAATAAGAGTATTATTATCCGAAAATTTTAGTAATAAAGGATAAAAAAAAAATTATTTTGATAATCTTACAATACCTAAGAAAATTGAGGTAATCAGATTACCTCCAATATTACCAACAGTAATTACTATTGGTATTTAAAGATTACTAAAATCTTATATTACTTAATAATTAAATATAGTAATAAAACAATATAAGATGACATAACTCAATAATCTCATATAACCTCCAACCAAACGACCCTTATTTGAAGGGCTACTAATTAGTTTGGTTTATTCCCTCGTGAAAATTGCGTGGGAATTCTCAATTCTATACCACTGAATTGGGCTGAGTTTAAAGGTCTCAAGACTAGCATTAATATGGCCATATGTATGAAATGATATTAATTGGATCCAACTACTTTTAAACTCAACCTGGAAGCATTGGGCTGAATAACATCGAGCCATTTTTCTGGCTGGATCCATCTCATAACCTAGCTAAGCCGGTCCCCAGCAATGCATTTTTGACAGAATTTTGTCATCCACTTATTTATTTATCAACTAGTATGTGATAAGTACCACCAATTCAAAAGATGAGTCTATGATATTGTAAATCCTTTTTTTTTTTTTTTTTTCAGAAGAGTGTTTTCCATTTTTTAGTTATTTATGTGATTTTAACAAAACAAATATAATAAATGAATAAACATGAAATAATTAGTTATTTCAAGTTGTTGAAGCTAAACATTTAATGTTAGTAAGGCATTAAAAAAAAAAAAGAAAAAAGGTAATCTCTTTTTTTTTTATTATTATTATGATTGGGAGAATTTTTGACCGCACCTCAAACTCATTTTTTTATGTTCGAGAGTGCTTAGGTCAACTTAAACACATTTCAAGCTAGAAGTTAGAATCTTTTGAATAATTCACTCAAAACAAAAGTTTCTATCAAACCTCTCGATCATCCAGAAATAATTAAATAATCTCCGTTTTCACGAAGAATACCCACCTGGCCACCTCTCTTCGCTTTTTATTCTATATCATAAGAGACTTTAACTCTCCTTATCAATCAATAAACTGAGTTTCAAAGGTTTGCAACTTCTTCTTCTTCTACTTAATTATAAACCCCCCAATTCAGTTTCTTAGTTGAATTGAAGAATACATTTTTCTTTGAAAATGGTTAATTGCTACAAATTTATAGGTCTTGTTTGGGTCAATAGTGGGTCTCATTATCTCAAACGTAATTATTGCGAAAAGAGTGATAAATTCAATGATAATGACTCGTGATTGATTCATGATGTTGGTTTTAAAAAGAAGGGTGTTTGTGTTTTGATCTCCCAACTTGAAGCTACATAAAAAAAAAGGTGGTTATGGTTACAATCCATTTGGTCCATTTCTAGGAAAATTACAGCCAATTTACTCTTCAATGGTACATTCTTTTTCAACTAGCTTCTGCTATTCTCATTTCCTAGAAACACAACAACGTGTACGAAGGGTCAGAGACTTGCAAAGAATAACGAAAACCACTCAACAAACCTACCCTCACCATAATCTTCAAATTTTAGAATATAAATTATTCAAACAAATAAATGGAGGGGCCATGGCGATCATAGCAGCAGGCAGGCAACAGCTTAACCCCACGACAACGCTTTAATTACAACTCTCTTTTCTATAAATTTTCATCTTCAGCTTCTCATACTCTGCTCTTCACCTACAAAAAAACACACCAACTCACTAACAAGAATTACCAAACCATAAAATGGAAAAACAGGGACCGGTTAAAAATGGCGCTGAACCATGTCCCGCCACTAACAGAGTCTCGCTCCTTAACTGCATCGATCTCTCCAGCTCTGACATTCACCAATCCGTTTCTCTCATCAAACAGGTCCTCTTCATATCATTTTTAATAAAAACAAAATCAATCCATACATTTTCTTNCCGTTTTCACGAAGAATACCCACCTGGCCACCTCTCTTCGCTTTTTATTCTATATCATAAGAGACTTTAACTCTCCTTATCAATCAATAAACTGAGTTTCAAAGGTTTGCAACTTCTTCTTCTTCTACTTAATTATAAACCCTCCAATTCAGTTTCTTATTTGAATTGAAGAATACATTTTTCTTTGAAAATGGTTAATTGAGACAAATTTATAGGTCTTGTTTGGGTCAATAGTGGGTCTCATTATCTCAAACGTAATTATTGCGAAAAGAGTGATAAATTCAATGATAATGACTCGTGATTGATTCATGATGTTGGTTTTAAAAAGAAGGGTGTTTGTGTTTTGATCTCCCAACTTGAAGCTACATAAAAAAAAAGGTGGTTATGGTTACAATCCATTTGGTCCATTTCTAGGAAAATTACAGCCAATTTACTCTTCAATGGTACATTCTTTTTCAACTAGCTTCTGCTATTCTCATTTCCTAGAAACACAACAACGTGTACGAAGGGTCAAAGACTTGCAAAGAATAACGAAAACCACTCAACAAACCTACCCTCACCATAATCTTCAAATTTTAGAATATAAATTATTCAAACAAATAAATGGAGGGGCCATGGCGATCATAGCAGCAGGCAGGCAACAGCTTAACCCCACGACAACGCTTTCATTACAACTCTCTTTTCTATAAATTTTCATCTTCAGCTTCTCATACTCTGCTCTTCACCTACAAAAAAACACACCAACTCACTAACAAGAATTACCAAACCATAAAATGGAAAAACAGGGACCGGTTAAAAATGGCGCTGAACCATGTCCCGCCACTGACAGAGTCTCGCTCCTTAACTGCATCGATCTCTCCAGCTCTGACATTCACCAATCCGTTTCTCTCCTCAAACAGGTCCTCTTCATCTCATTTTTAATAAAAACAAAATCAATCCATACATTTTCTTTTTCTTTTTTATTTAATTTGTGTATATGATTTTCCAGGCATGCTTGGATTGTGGATTCTTCTACGTGATTAATCATGGGATAAGTCAAGAATTCATGGACGAGGTTTTTGGTATGAGTAAAAGGTTTTTTGAATTGCCATTGAATGAGAAAATGAAGCTTTTAAGGAACGAGAAACACAGAGGTTACACACCTGTTCTTGATGAGCTTCTTGACCCTGATAATCAAGTACATGGTTAGTTGTTTTCCCTTCAACTTCTTTCTTTCTTTTTTTCAGTGTCAATGAAAGTTCTGATCGTTTATTTTTTATATGAATTTTTGGTAGTAGGAGATTATAAGGAGGGATATTACATAGGTGTTGAAGTACCTGAAGGTGACCCTGAAGCAGAAAAGCCCTTTTATGGTCCAAATGTGTGGCCTGCACCAGGTCACTTTATCAATTCACTGGTCTGGAGTAAAATTTATTTAGATGACTTTTGTTCAGAAACAATTTTTATTTTTGGAATATTTTGCTTTTCTTAGATGTTTTGCCTGGATGGAGGGACACAATGGAGAGATTTCATCGAGAAGCTTTGTAAGTTGTGGCAAACATATAGAAGTCTTTTAATTTACATGCATATGAGTTAATTTTTCCTTTATGGTGTTAGTAGAGTTTCAGATACTAAAGGCTATTTTACTGTCTATTCATTTCTGTCTTCAACTATTGAAATATACTTGATCTATTATTTATGTGCATTCAGAGAGGTGGCTAAAGCAGTTGCAAGGATAATAGCCCTTGCACTTGATTTAGAGGTTGATTTTTTTGATAAGCCTGAAATGCTTGGAGAGCCTATTGCTACCTTGAGGCTACTACACTATGAAGGTGAAATTCTAAAATTGGAAGGCCAATGAATTCCATTATAGACCTGACACCATTGCGCTATTAAAATGACTTCAGTGTTGTTAATTTATTCTTTTCTTTCGTTTAGGTCAAGTTTCTGATCCTGTGAAAGGAATATATGGAGCTGGGGCACATTCAGACTTCGGTTTGGTTACCCTCTTAGCAACAGACGATGTGTTAGGTCTTCAAGTATGAATAATGCCCTAAAATGTGACCATATTTTTCATTTTGTATTAAGCTACTGACAGTTTTAGATTAATCATAGATATGCAAGGATAAGGACGCTAAACCTCAGACATGGGAATATGTAGCACCAGTAAAAGGGTGAGTCAGGTTAATATATGTTTATTTAATTGTTAACACTCTATCGGTGATTAGTGTATTACTGCATGTTGAATACTCTTTCAAGATTCATGATTAGTTGTCATGATCAGATTTTCTGCTAAGAGCCCCTTCACATCTCCTAGCAGTAAACATCCAAAGGGAACATAATTAAACCCTGGGCCCTGAAAACTATTCTTCTTCTTGGTTGAAGAAGTAGTTTACCGATGTAGCACTATATGTATCGTACTTTAACCTTTCTTGTTTTTCATCAATTATGTCTTCATTTTGAGTATCCCTTCCATGAGTGATTTTTTGTTATTGTAGATAATTTTTTTCTTAAATTGTACTTTGATCAAATTTTCCTTTTTGAGATTCTTATTTTTTATTTTGTAATAATCTGGTGGAGATCCCGTATATATATGTACTGCACTGGTTGTGATGCATACCAGTAATTCTGTAAATCATGATCTTTCTTTAATAAAAAATCCTTTCAATATTCTGTTAAATTTTGGTTTACAATGTTTGGACTCCAATTCTAGTACTTTCCCTGTTATCTTTCTAGGTGGTGTATCTTTAGATAGTTGTAAAGACTAATGTACAGACATTAAGGCATACATAATACTAAATGCATTCTGTTAATACAATGTGATGTTTTATCAAAATGCATACTGGTAAGAATTTTAGATTAAACTGCCTTGGTGACAGTATAGTGACAGGCTTTGTATTTTGGGGTAATGACATCCTTTCACTATGGCTTATCTTTACAGATCATTTATTGTGAATCTTGGTGACATGCTGGAGCGGTGGAGCAACTGTATATTCAAGTAATGGTTTAGATTATTCTTACATTTTATTCTTTACAAGATATGAGTGAATTTACGGCTTCACAAGGCAGTCAGGACGACTTACCTGTAGTTACATTAATCATGAATAATAATTAACCTTAAACTTTGTTTGTTTTACATTTGGGTGT